GGGGGGGTCTTCCTCTTTTTCTCTGACCCTCCACCTTACCAAACATGATATCCTTCTCCAGTGACTGGTTCCTCCTGACAACATGTCCAAAGTATGAGAGACAAAGTTTGACCATCTTGGCCTCCAAGGAACCAACTATAAGGCACTAAACAACAACAACATATTGGGAGAAAGTTGTGGCTGTCTGCTCCCGTAAAGATGTACAGCCTCAGAAACCCTATGGAGCACTTCTACTCTGTTCTCTAGGGTCAGTTTGAGTAGGAATGGACTCAATGGCAATGGGTTTGGTTGGCTTTTGGTAAGCTCCGTGTAAATGTTCTTGTCTCCCAAGAGCTAGCCCCAAGCAGCTCTTGAATTCATACCCTCTAGAACTTCAGTTCTCTTTCCTGTAACCAAAGTCCTTCATATATTCCCCTGTTAGGCTATTCATTCTTCTGTTCTCACTGCCTTGAATTATTTGCCTTGGCAAACATTCCCTGCCCCCAGGAACACTTTGGTCTTGACTATACCTCATTATCACTTATCATCTGTATTGCAGGTATCAAGAATCCTTACTAAATTGTGCATATCCTTGACGGCAAACCATACTTATTGCTACTGAGTAGATTCTGATTCATAAAGACCCTATATAAGGTTTCTTGAGGTTATATATCTTTACAGGAGCTGAAAGGCTCATCTTTCTCTTGTGGAGTGGCTAGTAGGTTTGAATTGGCAAGTGGTTAGCAGTCCAGTGCTCATCCTTGAAGGCAAAGATCCTGCCTTTTCACTTTTGTAGTTCCTGGACCTAACACAGTGCCAGGGGCATGATAGACATTCAATGTTGTTACTGTTGTTGGGTGATGTCAAGTCAATTCTATAGTGGTGACTGCAGGTAATAGAGAAAAATTGTCCCACAGGATTTCCTTGGCTGTAATTTTGTGTGGCACTTCAGGATGATGCGCTGAACTGCAAGGTCAGTTTGAGCCATAAGGTTGATGGTTCAAACCCACCAGTTACTCCTCGGAAACCTTTTTAAGGGTTGCTATGAGTCAGAACCCACTCGACGGTACTTAAAAACAACAACAATCTTTACAGAAGCAGATGACCAGGTCTTTCTTCCATGGAGCACCTGGGTGGGTTCAAACCACCAACCTTTTGGTTAGCAGCTAGATGCTTAACTTTTGTGCCACCAGGGCTCCTTTGTTATTATTGTTAAGTACCTCAGAGTCAGGGCTAATTTAGACATTCATTAAATAGTATTAAAGAAATGAATGGGCTTATCGTGATTTCCTTATAAGACTATAAACTTCTTATGCACAAACAATCCTATAGGTTGCATTTCATATTCTCCTCAACACCTAGTAGAATTCTATTCAATATTTAGCCAACCAATCATCAAGTATTTTGTCTGTTTCCAAATTATAATACTCTAATCAAAAAGTTTACAACCATTTCCTTCATTCATTCCACATGCCCCACTAGAGATTTCTACCTTTGGAGCTCCAGAGCAGTTTTCTGAGATTGTCTTAAATTGCCCAGCACTTTCTGCTTTGGATTCCACAATTTATGTATATATCACATTGTTCCACTAGACTGTGAACTTGAGGCCAGAGTAGGAGTCTAACATTTTGTAGACTTCAATCCACCCAGCATCCCTTGCCCATAAAAACGCACTCACAGCACTTTTGATGGTTTTACTTAATGAATAAACCCTTTAGGCTAAGGATTTCCTTATTTATCTATGGAACCAAGGATAGCTCAAAAAGGGGTAGGGGAGGATTCAATTCTCAATTTGAAGAACACTGGCTTGATGTTAAATCTTGCCATTAAGAGTTGTGTTCATTTGAAAGAAACACACATTGATACTTGCAGGCACTTGCCACATATCAAGGAATAAAATTTTAACCCAGAGAGTTGAAAATTGAGGAAATGGTGATTTCACAAAGATTACAGTTAAGACAGTCTCAAAATGTGCTTTAGAAATGTTACAGGATGCAGACTGTCTTTCCTAGAAATGACCTTTTCCCCCCCAATTTAGGAAATAATGTGTGTATTATATGAGATTAGTTACCTTTCTTAAAAGTTTAATTTACCAAGGGCTTCGGTTAATTGTGGAAAGGAAATCAATGTGATTTATGGCACTGAGGTAAAGTTGCCAGTGGGGGAAAATAGGTATTTTCCACTTTTATAATATTCAACACACGTTAACTAGATGAGGACATTTTTATCCTTGTAACACTTCAACCTCGCTTGCAATAGGAAGATTTCATAGTTTTGAAAGCAATGACCGAAAAGTATTATCACCAATTAGAGACAAAAGCCTTCTAGGTAATCTACAGTGAACTGTTTCATGACTGGATCTTTAAATGCCATGTTGACTTAACCTATGTCCAAGCAGGAAAGAAAGAATTATGACAGTTGAAATTTAAAACAAACACCATAACAACAGCATTGCATTAATTGTTGAGATTTCCCTGAAACCAAACAATCTGAAGACTGTTTACTCCTATGGTAAAACCTGTGAAAGCTGGAACCAAAGTGAAGGTGGAAGGAAACATGTCAGAGAAGGAAAACTCAAAGTATTTTCCACAAATCGAGTGCAATAGAAAAGTGGTAAATCAGAGGCCGAACACTTGTGAAACCCAGAAAAGCAAGGCAGTTCTGTCAAAGTCTGGCTCTCACGTATTGCACTGTGGTTTTATCTCCAAGCAGCAGGATTCAAAAATCCTTTCTAAACATAATATATACAACACTGATCTCTTTGATGCCTTCAAAGTTACCTTACTGCTTTCACCTGGGTTTATTAATGTGTTTGGTGGTAGTGGTGGTGGTGTTCCCTGGAGGCCCAACTAACTCATAGTGACCCTGGATAGGGTTTCTTTATAGAAACAAAAAGCCTCATCTTTCTCTCGAAGATGATAGATTTCAACTGCTGATTTTGAGATTAACAATCCAATTTGTAACCCACTACACTACCAGGGCTCAGGTTTTAGTAATAGACACACTATATTAAGTACCTATCCTTGGTGGTACTGTGGGTTAGGTGTTGGGCTGTTAACCTCAAGGTCAGAGGTTGAAACCCACCAGCCACTCCTCAGGCAAAGTAGGAGGAGACATGACTGCTTCTTGTTAAGATTTGCAGTCTCAGAACCTGGTGTAGGGTCGCTGTGAGTCGGAATCTACTCGATAGCAGTGGGTTTGTTTATTCCTTTAGTTTATCGTATGCCTGGTAGTTTGCTTTCATTATTTCAAATCATTCATTTATGCAACAAATATTAATTCAGCATCTACTGATTGTTGGAAAATGTGCCAAGTATTGGGGCTACAACTATGAACCAGACATTAGTTCTTTCCTTCAGGAAGGTTACAATCTATAGGACAGCAACAACTCTGCAAGGTGGTTCATCTGTTTTACAGATAAGGAAAATGGGATGAAGAAGGACTACTGGCTACTAGCTGTTTGTCTCCACTCCCTGTACCTATTTCAATTCACTCATCTTTGAAAATCCTACCTTAGGATTTTCCACTCTTTGGAAACCTTATACAGGATCGCTAGGAGTTGGAATCGACTTGAAGGCACTTAACATTAAGGCAATATAAGAAATATTAAATGCCAACTGTATTTTAGATTGGGCCCTGGCTTAAATAAAAGATACAAGCCTAAACACCCACATTTCTAACAGATGTGGAAAACAAACTTGCTTGCAAGATGAAAGGTTTGTGAGTCTTATGTTATTCATAAGATACACAGGAAATTGGAGAACTTCATTACTATTAGATTGCTTTTTTCTACTTTTTCCTGATTGTATAGTTCATGACAAGGGTGGAAGATAGATTACAGGGTAGCAATAGGGCAAGGCGGTTTGATTTGAAAAGTAGGCAAAGGAAAACCCTATGGACTAAAGCCTCAGTAAGAAATTTTGCTTTCTTTGGCCATTCCTGACATGAGATTCTTGCAATTTATTAAGAGACTGGTTAAACTAAGATGATTGTTTCACTGGACCTTTTCATTTCTTCTCTGCCATCTCTCCCATCTGGCATAATTTAACCAGACTCCTCAGAATAATAGAAACATTCAGCTGTAAGATGCAATGCTCTCGGAAGAGACTAAGACCACCAGAAATCTTTGCCAGGCCACCTCTCTTTCTGTTCCCTAAATACGGTTCTGCAAAATGCACAGCCTTTTGGACAGTTAAAGTAATTTCCTAGTTGGCCTTCTTACCTCCCATGTCTCTTGCCAATGACACCCGTCTTTCAGTGTTATCTTCCTATAACACTGATCACGTCACTCCTTGCGTGGTGGAGGCCTCCGCGGACTCCCTGAAGTTTACAGAAGGAAGCCCAAATTGCTATGACACAGAATGCCCTTCAAGTCTGGGCTTAATCCCTACCTACCCTTTCAGCCTTATCTCCCCCTTATCCTTCTACACCAGAGGCACACACAGAATCAGCCTTTGTTCCTTGAACAGGTTTTGGTTTTTCAGGCCTCCATACCTTTGCACAAATTTGGCCAGCATATCCCTTTCGCTTCTCTAGCTGGGCAAATGAAACTCATTCTCTAAGATCCAAATAAATTGACTGTTCCTCAGCGAAACCTCATTAAATTATAATTACTTATTCAGATTTTGCAAGTTCAGTCTCTAATCACTCCTTTTCCATATCCCCAACTTCTCTTACACCACCTTTGTTTTTGACTTTGGGCCTAGTTTAGAACAGAGGATCAATAAAGCATATGTTGAACAAGGAATAAATTGTACCCCTGCATCTGGTGTGGTGCTGTGGATCAGCACTGGACTGCGAACCACAAAGTCAGCAGTTCAAACCTACCAGCTGTTCCTCGGAAACCCTATACAAGGTCACTATGAGTTGGAACTCACTTAACAACAATCCAGGCCAGATGTATAAAAGTGGAATGAGCATGCACACACAACTGACATTATATAATTTCATGAGGGCTTACATGTTTTTCAAAATTTTTTTATAGTCCAAGTTAAAAAAAACAAAAAACCACACACATTAAAAAGTGATGTAATTCATCCATACCAGTTTATTGTAGGTATTGTTTCAAAAAAATTTCTAGCATAAATAACCTTTCATGTCATAAAATAACTTAGTACAATTTATAATAAAACTTTTGAGAATTTAACATCTCATCAAAATACAATAAAATATGGTTTGAAAATATGATTAACCCTCTCTGCTTTTCTTTTCCTTTAGGGCATTTAAGCCCTAAATGCCCAAACTACTGCTGCATTATTTAAACTTGAAAAAAGCATATTTGGTTTATTTTCATGTAACTCAACCATCCTAAATCAATACATAGTTTGTTTTCCTTCCTGCATGGTTCTTTGTAAATTTTGTTCCTTTTGACTTGTATTTCTGTTTCAACACAGCTTCCTTCTTCATTTTCACCTCTTTCCATCTGCAAAGTCATCTATCGCCGGTCCCCCAGAACATGTAGTTGAACTCACTCAGCCTCTTGACATCAGTTTCTGTAATCCTTGCATCAGTGTAGGGAGTAACTGCTTGAGTAACTACAAAGGTATTTCAAAACTTCAGTGCAATTTGGTTCAGTTATTTTCATTCAGATTCCATCACCGTTCAGGGAGATTAATCACTGGAACCCACTGATCCATGTAGCGACTTTCCCGGCAAAAACAAATAAGTTGACTTAAGGCTGGGTCCTTCCATTGTGATGAATGTGGATTCTGGAAACACGTTTGGAAAATGAAATGATTTTTTAAAAAATCTGCATTTGCTAATAATTACACTACTTTGAGGGGAAGACACTTGAACATTCACAATCTACACTGTAAAACAGAGACACATAAGCAGCACAAAAAATTAAAGCTCTAGGTAGCTGGGTATCCTGCAAAATCGTTAATTATTTTTTAGGCCATACTCTGTACAGCCTGAACATATGCAATCCATACACTGCATACATATGTTCACACGAGATGGTGTTTATCCAGCTTTGCATGAAAATGTTGTTTTGTCCTGCAAAACTGTACCCGGATAGGGACCTACTGAAACAACTTGGAGACTGTCTCCATGCTGTGTATTTCATGAGATGAGCAGCATAGCAGTTACAGACTTGCCACCTGTTATCCTCCCCAAAATTAGAGTAGTGTTTTTCAGGGGGAGCAAAATAATTAGTCTGCCACCTAACTAGAACCAGCCAGAATACAGAATAATGTAGAAAACAAAGCTATCACATTTATACCTCTGAAAATAAGTTCTCTTTCTACCAAAGGTGGTTTTGCTCTTTCTTTATTTTTAATTAGAAAAAAGGGTCCATTTAAAAAAAAAAAAAAAAACAATGCAAGATCGCCCAGCAAAAATTTCCACTCTATCCTCTTAATGTACTTCTAGGGAATTAATAAGGTCTGTCTCCTACACCACTTCTATTTTTAGCTTTGACTGGCAGAGAATGAAGCTGACTCCTTAATGAGGGTGAGCCAGGAATTTATTTGGCTTTATCTAATCTGCCCTGTTAAAGGAATTAGTCACGGGAGGTAGTGCAGATGTAGGTAGGGAGTAGCTGGGCTGACAGTGCTGACTCACAGGGATCTCTTCCGCTGCTGGCAGCCTCCAACGTGCTTAGACATGTTCTGTACCAGGGAAAATCCTGATGATGACTCTAGCACATCTCGGCTGAAAGTCCGAACACATTCTCTAGTGGGGCAAAGGCAGCCACCGTCTTGACCCCCACCTATTCTAGATCTGCAGGCGGGAGACTCCTAGCCCTTTCTTCCTAACTTCCTTCCGGGACTGTAGCCAGGACGCTCCTGCTGCCCCCTTCTCGCTTACCGTCACCAGCACGCAGTGAAGGTCCGGGGGCTGCTCGGCGCCCTCGCTCGCCGCCGGACTCGCGTCAGACTCCAGCAGCAGGAGCTCAGCCAGCCGGCCCGGGTTGCTGACGCGCAGGATGTTGATGTCGTTCTCGCAGCAGAACGCCTGGATCAGGGTGAAGTGGATCTGCAGAGCCACATCCCTGTCGTCGTCCTCGTCGGCCGCCAGCAGGCACAGCACCACGTTATCCGGGTCTCTGCGGGCACCGGCGGGGCGGGTGAGCGCCAAGGCACGACCGGCCCGCGCGGGCGCCCGCCACCCCCGACTGGCCTCTCCTGGGTCCCCGCGGGTCGCACGTTCCCCCCCCCGAGACCCCCCAATGTGCAGCCGCGGAGGTGGGTGGAGAGCAGTGGAAGGCGGCGCTGCAGGGCGACCTCGCAGGCTGGGGCGGGAAGGGGAGCCCCGAGTGGACAAGTGAGGACCCCACTTACACGTTGAGCAGCTTGGCCGCCTCGTACACTCCGACGGTGATGGTGCGCTGACTCAGGGCTTTGCTGAGCACTTCCTCGAGGGCATCCCCTACCTTATCCATCCTGAACGCGGGCAAGGGCACAGGAGAAAGGGGCCCGTCAGGCCAGGTCTCGCCCCTTCCCGGTGCCAAAGCCGCCGTGCAGCGGGCTTTCTGCAAGCCGGGGCTCCCCGTGGTCTCGCCACCCACCATATCCCTTCACATTCCCAGAGACCGCGTCCCGTGAGAAACTGGAGAGTGCCACCCACCACCCTCTCCAGAGAACACTGCCAGTCCCCGGCGCTGGGCGCAACAGCCGCGCGGGCAGGAACCAGCGCACTGCCCCTTGCATAGGCCCGCAGAAGGGGGCCGGGGGGGGGGGTCACCGAGTGTGGCCAGCGGGAGATGCCCTCCGCAAACTTTTCCGCTCGCTCCCCCTCAAACCTTCCCCAGCCCTCTGCACCAGGGGAGCGCGCTGTGGGGAGAGGGCTGCAGCAAGAGGCTCCGGAAAGTCCCGCCGACCCGAAAAGTTCGCAGGCTGGTTTACCTTTCAATCTTTTGCTCTCCAGCCGAGAATTCCTCCAAAGTCATATTGCAACTGCAGACTCCCCACAGAGAGCGGCGTGCGGGCTGCTCTTGCTACAGTGAGCGCGCGGCTGCTGTTCTCGGCACTCCCCTAAGAGGCACCGTGAACCGGCCGCGGCACTAACTGGCCGCCCCTCGCCCGCCGGGGCTCCTCCTCCTCCTGCGCCCGCCGCCGCTGCCCCGCGGTCCGCCCCTAGCGCCCCGATGGCTTGCTCGCTGACCCACACCACCAACCGCGGAACAATTCAGGCAGCTGCCCCACAGCCACTGAAGGACAAAGGGCCAGGCTCGCTGGAGTTATCCTGCCAACCTCCAGCCAACCACCTACCGGCTCATTTACATACGACGCAACCATTGGGGTATGCAAATAAGCCTGCTCTGGCAATTTGACCCCAGCGCCTGGTTCCAGGCTGAGAGGAGCGGAAGAGGGAGGAACTAAACGGGAGTCGGCATTCAGGGCGTTGCAGGGAGAGGGAGGGCGGTGCTGCGAGCCTAGTCTCGAATCGCGTTGGCGGGGCCCATCTGTGGAGAAGGGTTTGCAGTTGACGGGTGGAGGAGGGGTGTGTGTACGTCTTCTACTTGCGCTGGAGAAAGCTGCCAAGTGTTTTTCTAGTTGGTGCAAATTGTTTTAAGATCGTTTCATGTCTTTTGCTTTTAGGGGTTGCTATTAAAATATATTTTCAGGGTTAATGCCCCCAAGTCTAGTAATTACTGGTAAGCAGTAAGCAGGTACATAAAAAGAGTGTGTCCAGACTTCTGGGGTAAAGTTTTCCTCAGAAGTGTTGTTTATTTAAATCTAAGCAAAAGCCGCTTATAAGCAGTAGTATTATTTCGGTGTCTTGATGGCTGGTTTGATTTATATTTGGAAGGTTGCAAGGGTTGGAAACTCAAAAAAGAGAAATCAACACATTTGTGTTTTATGGTGGCAGGGCACCAAGTTGGAATCTTTTCCAAAGAAAACACACTTTCCACCTGCCCAGTGTAATTTCGGGAAACCATGAGCTGGTGCACGTGGGGAGCTGGTGGCCACTTGTGTGAATCTCAGCGGGACAACCCAGATTCACCTTTCCCAAAGAATCCTTCCCAAAAGGGGATCCTCCTGCCCCCGGTAAAAGCCAAGAGACAAATGTCTGACACCCACACTTGCCACAGCCTAAACTCAAATTGCTCTAGATATGCCCTAAGCTTCCTTTCATAAGACGAGAGTATGTCACTACCTTGTACAGAGAGCCTGTGATCTCATTGTGAATTGTTGACTTAGCTGCTGAATCATGAAGCTGTAGCTGTAAGATCTTTTAGTCATATGCTAAAATTTCATCTTTGAGATAATGGCAACCTGTTGTTGAGAAGCAAATCTTTTTAACTGCAAGTAGTAACATATTTTTGAAACACAAATTTTAATATATAGAATTTCACTGAATAGGTCAAAAGTCCCTTTCTTTGTCTTATGAGTTTATGCAATAAATGCGAAAGCACTTCTTAAACCTACTTAAGTCACCAAAAGTGGTGAAAATGCCTCCCACATGCTTGCATGCAGAACAGCACTTAGATTATTTAGGTTACTCTGCAGCCAAAAGTCACAGAAGCAACTTTTTGCAAAGATGCGAGGACCAGGAGCAATGTCAGTTGTCAAGAATTCTGACTTTTGACAGTCCCATGTGTTTCAGTGGATGCTTTTGTTCAGAAGTAGATCTCCAGTCTTCAGAGACATCTCTGGGAGGACTTGAACATGCAATATTTCTGAACTTTAACTGTTTGCACTACCCAGGGAGACAAAGGTTTTTGCATCCTTATGTTTGTGCCAATGAACTCTGGTGGCACAATGATGCTAGGCTGCTAATTAAAAAGTTACCTCTCTGAACCCACTAGTCGCTCCAATCTGTTTCCATGAAGATTACAGTTTTCCATGAAGATTACGGCCTTGGAAACCCCATAGCTCAGTTCTACTCTGTCCTATAGGATCCTATGAGTAGGACTCAACTCAATGGCAACAGGCTTCCTTTTCTTGTTAGTTTATGATTGTATCATTCTAGACAAACTACTCTCTAGTTTTCTTGATCTTAATTTAATGGAAATGAAAAGTGATATTAGGTCAGGGTTCTGATTCACTTATCCAGGCCATTGTGTTTCACTCAATCCATAATTACATTATCAGCAAGGGACTTTGAGTAAAAGAAAGGTCATGATCACTGTTTAATCATGCAAGGGTGTTTGTGTATCTTATATCTATATCTTAGATTGTAACTTGAGGTATCTTCAGTAAAGAATTCCTCAAGATTGAAACTTAAGTAGGTGCTGAAGTATTTTCAGTTTTGCAAACAAAACCAGAATTACACAATCTACTCGGAGTCATCATTTGGAGATTATTGAACTACGCTCTGTGGAATTCCAGTATTCTATACTAGACATTTCTTAAAGGTTCTCTGGAAAGAAGTATAAAGGCAGTTGCTGGATGACAAACAAGTTTCATTCCTAAATCTGTCTTTAAGTTAAATTTGTACATTGGGACAGTTAGGTATGGCTCATATATTAATACTGATATATACAATATGGTAAGACAGCCAAGGAGTCCTGGTGTGGTGCTGTGGGTTAATGCACCAGACCGCAAAGCCGTTTGAACTACAAGGTTGACGGTTCAAGCTCACCAGCTGCTCCTAGGAAACCCTATACAGGGTTGATATGGGTCAGAAATGACTCAACATCACTAAACAACAACAAGACAGCCAAGGAGTCATGGTGTGGTGCTGTGGGTTTATGCGCCAGACTGCAAAACCGTTTGAACTGCAAGGTTGGCGGTTCAAGCTTACCAGCCACTCCTAGGAAACCCTATACAAGGTTGCCATTGGTCGGAACCAACTTGATGGCATTTAACAACAACAAGACAGCCAATATATCTTATATATCAGTATTAATTTTATGCATAGAAAGGTATACTAGATACAATATACTAAGACAAACTGTTTTAACATATCATATATAGTATACCTTTCTATGTATATAAAAACATTAAAGAAACACTTCCAGATACACTCAAACATCCTTAATGTATAATACAGTAATAGTAATAATGTTTTGATCCGTGTTGCAGATTTGTGCCCATTTGTTATCACAAACCATTGTGTATGTCCCCAAATTTTAATACCATAGGTTTTACAGGGGTTGGTTCTTAACTATGGGTTTTATGTTAGGTCCAATGTTGAGAACTTGGGAATTGTCTATAGTCACAAGTCATAACAAGGTCTGTGTCCTCATGAACTTGATGTCCCCAGCACTTAGCACAGTGCCTGTCTTAGTGAAAGTGCAATACAATCTGAAATTTAGTAGAAATGCAGTCAGTGTTTGAGTAGAATACAATCCAAAATTTCAACAATTAGAATTTGTGTCTTGCATAAATTCCCTCTAAAATATTTCACATTTACCTTTAGTTGAAAAACAAAAACATAGCCCCAAGAACTGTATGTTCTTGATCCTTTGCCTTTAAAAAGCTTATGATCTAATGGGCATATCTCTGCTTGAACTGGATTTTAGGACAAAAATGCACTGTCATCAGCTAGCTATGTTACAAGTCCCATGACTTTCTTTAGTCATGTGAACTGACACTGTAGGCCAATAGAACCCATGTTTTCTTTATACCAGTTCAAATGAACCACAGTTGTAATGCCCTGTCCACAGCAACTATGAGCAGGAAAAACATGGTTAATTCTTCATATAGGTCTGTTTCCTCACTCAAAAACTATATTGCATGCTCTATTTGACCACATAAGAAAAGTGTGGGGGTTTTCTCTGTGAGATAAGCCCAGGCTTCCAGTATTCAAAATATTCATTTGTCATACTTTCTGACTCAGATCTGTTACATCATTTTTCCTTATTGCTGAGTCTACGTGGAGTGTTTCATCAGTGATTATCTTCACAAATGGGCCTTATGGCTGAAAGCAGCTGTATTTAGAATGCAGTTCTACATTAGAATGATCATAGATGATGTTTTTTTCATAAAGGCATATGGATCCTGGGGTCGGGAGTGGGAGTCACGATATTTCCGAGGAATTTCCCTAGATGAACGTAGAATATGCATATTTTTATAACCAGTATAAGAACTCCAGTATGTGAAGTGATTATGAAGTCATTTCTAAAACTACTCCAGGTAGCCTTGATTACTGCAACTGCACAGAGTTAGAATGACCTTGTAGTAATTTTTGAAAGGATGCCAAATGATTATATTTGGAAATTAGATGGAAATATGTACTTAAGAATTGTGGAATAATTTTAATACTGCTAACTGATTTGCATATGAAAGAACTTTATGATATTTTCCTCATGTTTAATATGTATACATCTCTGTTACTGGTTCTATAGTACAGAATTAGAAGTTTTTCCCTTTTAAATAGTCAATCCTTTAACATCAAAAAGAAGTAGGATGTTTGTTATTTCAGTGTTAGAAAGTTCACTGTTCACAGGAAAGGAAAAACCAAGTTAGCTTATGACAGATGCATCTACCACCTACCTAGAACTATATTATATTGCGATGCATTGTGAGAAATCATGCTGTTTCTGATATAAAGGGGGGTTTCAAAAAGTTCATGGAAAATTTCCATTATCTTTTAATTCCATTATTACATGATCATGTTGAAGCTCCCTCATATATGTTGTTGTTGTTGTTAGGTGCCGTCAAGTAGCTTCGAACTCCTAGCGACCCTATGTACAATACAATGAAACACTGCCCAGTCCTGCAACAACCTCACAATTGTTATGTTTGAGCCCATTGTTGCAGCCACTGGGTCAATCCATCTCATTGAAGATCTTCCTCTTTTTCACTGACCTTTTTTTACTCTACCAAGCATGATGTCCTTTTCCAGGGGTTGGTGGTCTGAGCTCTGATAGCGTAGTGGTTACAAGCAGGGCTGCTAGCCTCAAGGTCAGCAGTTAGAAAGTACCAACCATTCCGCAGGAGAAAGAGGTGGTTTTCTGCTCCCATGAAGATTTACAGCCTTGGGAACCCTATGCGTGGT